AGAACAACCAGTGTTCTTAACCGCTGAGCCATCTCTCCAGCCCCTATATTTATTATTTTATTTTATGTGTAAGTGTGTATTGCCTTCATGTGTGTAAGTGCACCCATGTATGCAATGCCCACAGAGGTCAGAAGAGGGTGTTGGACCCTGAAACTGGAGTTATGGATGGTTGTTAGCTGCCATGTGGGTGCTGGGATGGGAACTCAGGTCTTTTGCAAGATCAGCCAGTGCTCCTTAACTGCTAAGGCATCTCTCCAGCCCTTAACTTATATTATTACTAAGAGTTTACTGTGATTCAGTGAAACAGCTTCAATCTTATGTTTAAGGAATCTTGCCCTTTCCTCTACCATCAAGACAAATCGAATTTGAGAGGGAGACAAACAGGAACATAGAACAAAGTAAATAAAGAGAGTGGTAGCTCAGATAAGATCTTACCAATCCTGGATAAGCCCTTTCTCCTGCTGACTAAATTTAATTTCCAGTAAAGATGTTTAAGACAACATATTCTAAGAAAATGGGATAGGCATGTTAACTCTACTTATGTTCTAAAGATGCCAATGAAGATACATCACAGGAAAATACCCCATGCTGGGCAGTCAGAAAAAGGAAAATAGAATAGATTGTTTTGATTTTATTTTTTCTTCACATAGAACTTTCCGAAAGTAGGCTGGGTGTGGTGATGCACACCTTTAATCCCAGCACTTGGGAGGCAGAGGCAGGTAGATATCTGTGAGTTCCAGGCCAGCTGGGGCTATAGGGAGACCCTGTCTCAAAAAAACCAAAAAAAAAAAAAAAAAAAAAAAAAAAAAAAAAAGAAAAAACCTTTTCCAAAGTAGTCAAGCACAATTATTTTATTAATTGTTATTATGTGTGTGTATCCATGGTGTTTGACTGCAGGTATACATGTAGAGGTCAGAGAACAATTTTGGGGAGTCACTGTGGGCTCTAGGGATAGAACTCAAGTTGTTGGGCTTACATAGCTAAGTGCCTTTAAACTGCTAAACCATCTCCAAATGATTTCTTTAACAACAAATTTATTTTATTAATTTTAAATTTTTTTTGTTTTGCTGGTTTTTTAAAATTATTTATTTAAAAAACACACAATCAGAAGAAGCATTTCATTACAACAGCATTGACATATTCAATAACAATTTCCAGAGCTAAGATGCATCTCCTTCAAAACTGGCTGTAAATTTTTAGGTTTACAGTTGAATTAATACAGTTATACAATATTGTACTCAGTATAAACCCTATAAGACATAAAATTAAATGAGGTTGTAAACTTTAAAAAAGATCTCCATTTCACTATTAAAATACAGTTTCATACAGGAAAATTCATTTTCAATACAATTGACACTAAGATGCACATGCATTTCTAATCTCTATATATCTGATTATTACTAGTCACAGTCGGTTACTTTCTGAGCTCCTTGGCATGTGAGCACGTGAGCACCCAAACTAGGAGAGACTGGTGGGGGATATGGGATGGTGAATGAGGCTGGGGGAGTCAAGGCGCAGAGAGCGTGATGGACTTACTCAGGAGAGAGGCCTGTGGGTAGAAGACAGCAATTTTAAATTTTTATATGTATGAGTGTATTGTCTGCATGTATATTAGTGCATCTGTATTGCGCAATGCCTGCAGAGGTCAGAAGGTGTTGGATTCCCCTGGAAAACTGGAGTTACTGACGGTTGTTAGCCGCTATGTGGGTGCTGGGAATCAAACCCAGGTCCTCTGCAAGAACAACCAGTGCTCTTACCTGCTGAGCCATCTCTCCAGTCCCTTTAAATATGAAATTCAATATAGCTTAAAATAAGAATTGAGATCATCTTTGTTATCCTGAATTTTTGTTGAAGAAGATCAATAGGCATGTTTAACAAAGAATTAACACTGGCAAGAATGCAGGGGCAGTGGTTTATAAGGGAGTACTGAAAGATGAGTCATTCTGAAGTGCTGTGCCACAGAGGACACTTCACTGACCCAGACCCAGGCAGATGGCAGGAAGGTGACAACAGTGTTCCCTTTCTGCACATGCTCTAGGATTTTAACAGCACTGTTAAAAGTCACTAGAGCCTCCTATAATCTACACAGCAGTAGCCGTTACCATGGCTGCATAGACACCTATTCTAAAATAGATATGGAACTAAAATGATTGCTAGAGGAAGCAAAGAAATGTAGAAAAATACAATACAATCTCAGCTGAATGGACAAGAAGAATTTCTGTTTACACTGGACCTAATGTATAAATAATCTATATAAAAAAGAGCAGACTCTGAACGTTTCTGCCCTTTTAATCCATACAACAGCGCATTTGCAGACTTGGTATGTAGGACAGAATTAACCTATTTAATACCATGTGGCCTTTCCTTTAAAAATCTATGACTTTTCATCATGGGAGAACATCTTTCAATTTTAAGGTTGAGGACTCTAAATTGGCCAAACTATAATAAGTCAGGGCTTTAAATTTAACTGGCTTTATATCTGCATAAACAGCCACAAATGTAAGCCTAGTACAGTTTCTTCAACAGTAGCACTACTTGGTGCAACCATTTTAAAGCCCATTTTCTTTGTATAGGTCTTTATATAGGCTACCCAGTTATTCAGAAGAATACCAGAGGACTTTCTTTCAGGTCTAATAGTCTATCACATTGATACAAGAAGATTTAGCTCAGTAGGCCACAATTACTTTAGAAAGTTTTGCTTAGGCCTAAATGTGAGATCATCTAAATCTGAGTCTCTGTGAAGTTATGATCAGCTATTATGTCTTCTCTTTGTGCACCAGAAAGAAGATGGAATAGTTTACCATCTGTTCCTTTAATTACTTCTTATTGACTCCTCTGAAACCAAAGGATCTTTATATAAGTTCTACAGTGTGCTCATTTTACTTCTTGGTAGACAGGACTTGATAATTTGGGCCTCTAGTGATCCTCCAGTAGTAAGACTTAAGAAGGCTAGCCCAGCCTTCCCATGGGCACTTTTCTACCAACTCTTTGGAGTTTCAGATCCAAACCTAGGGCAACATGCCTCTGACTTCTCCTAGCCATCAACACAGCAGGGAACTGCTCTTAGGAGGGGAACAAGCACCTCTCTCAGTGTGTGAGGAAAGCATTAGAGGATCATCACAGTACTCACCATTTTGGCAGTTTTAGTTGGTGAAGGAGGACCTAAAAAATAGAAAAAGAAAAACGAAAAAAAAAAAGAGCCAAATTTTAAAAACAGAGGAAACATTCCTAGACCACTATACTGATAATGTCTATGATAAAACTATTTACAACTTTCTGTAGGCTAATAAATTCTTTATCCAGTACCAGCTGTATGTTAGGTATTATACAAATATTATCTCATTTCAATTTTACAACATTCCTAAGGCAACTAAGATTCTTCCTTAAATCCTACAACCACTAAGTAGAGAGGCAGCAAACATAACAATCTATAGGATGTAAAATCTTGATCTCTTTATTGTTTTTTTTTTAAACTTTCAGGCACAAAGATTTATTTGTATTTACTTGTTTATCTGTGTGCATATCTGTATGCATTCAGGTGGCCAGAAGACAGCACTGGGTGTCCTCCTCTATCACTCTCCACCTATTCCTTTGAGACAGGGTGTCTCCCTGAACCTGGGGCTCTCATTTTCTCAGGCTGGAAACCATCAAGCCCTAGTAAACCTCCTGTCTCCGTCCCCTTCTGAGCTGGAATAACAGGCAAGCACAGGACTCCTGGCTTATTACTTGAGTGCTAGATTATGAATTCTGGTCCACATGATTATTCAGTGAGCATTCTTTTTTTCTAATTATTGAGCTTTTGTAATTTCATATAACAGTTCCTAATAAAATCTAGACCCATTCCCCTATCCATGCCGCCCTCATCTCTTAACCATTGAGCCATCTCCTCAGCCCATCCCAAAGGGATTTTTTTTTTTACCTGACTGAGCATACTGTACCATTCCACCCAGAGAAGATACCAAAATGAGTCAAATAAATGAGAGTAAGTAAAAAATTCTTCTAAGAAGAAAAGTGCTCATGTGCCTCAAGAATAAAAACTAAGTCCAGAGGGATACAAAGAAGGAAGAAGGACTAGATTTCATTGTTTAAAACACTAGTCATTCATTTGTAAGGACTTGAGAAAGTCTATTGAAATGTGACTTTTAGTTCTTGAAACCAGATCTATAATGTCTAGGATCAGTTCATGTCAGCTGATGATCTTGAAAAATGAAATTCTCATTTCTTTCAGATAAGCACTGTAGGGTTTAATTACCATTTACAGGCAGAACCTAGAGCTTAAAATAAAAGCTTTATGAGCACCAGCTATCAGGATTGCCTTTGCAGGACAGGCTAACACACCACCTGAAGTTTTACTCATGCACAGGGTTATTAGCAATCACAAACCTGTGGTGTGGTGCAGAGTTCCTGATGAAGCACCATTGGCTGAAAGAGTTAATTTCTATTATTGTCATCAACAGAAAATGAAATTAAGAGGATATATTTCATTTGATGTAGCATAGCATCACGACTCTAATCATTAAAATCATAAATCAGATTTTAAAAAGAATATAATGGGAAAGAAATCATATTCATAATGGATATGAATGAACTAAGAACTAACACACAGCTGAAAAAGATACTGCTACAAAAAAAGCAGACAGAACCATGAGGAACATGCAGACTACCAGTAAAGTATGCTGGTAAAAGACACTGTCCTGTAAGGGAGGACAGTGAACACATAATAAATGCTTGGTCATGAAAACTCCACCTTGTGGTGTTACTTACCTCCTCTCAAGATAAGTAATGGCACATCTGCACCTACTGGGAACTGCTTTAGCACTTCTACCACTTGGAGATGTGTTAAATTCTGCACATTTTGATGGTAAATTTCTTTAATAATATCCCCTTTCTGAAGGCCTTGACACCACTGGCTATCCAGTATCATTTTCACCTTCTGTCCAGTTGGGCTGTCAGCAATTGCGAATCCGAAGCCTTTGGGGCCTTTAATCAGAGGGATAGTCACCAGTTCAGGCTGGGAGTTGCCTGATGATGCCAGGGATGTTCTCTGTTCACTTGAATCTGATGGACCATTGAGACGATCACTGGTCAAGATTTGTCCTGATTTTCCATTTTGATCCAGAACCACTGCTCCTGGCTTAAAATCCTGAGGGTTCATGTATGACTCTCCCTTTGTTAATGACTGTCCATTGATGATAGGGGTAGCAGTAACAATGTCCACAACAGGATCTTCACTGTCATCAGGAAGTGGATAACCACGACATAAAGTGAGATTTACATACTGATTGACAGGTACCAACTGAAACATCTGGACAACATCTGCATGGGTGTGACCAAGGACACAGTTCCCATTGATGTCTACAATAACATCACCTGACAAAATATAATCATGTTAAAATATTAAAATCACCAAATAAGTTCTTTTTTTGTTGGTAGGAAGGCAAAAACAAATACAGCAACTAAATTTGAATCCTGGAACTCTCTCATTAGGTACTGAAAAGAGAGATTCCAATACATATCTTTCTGTTATAACTTATCTCTAAAAAGTATACATAAATGTCTAAATTCTTTCTTTAAAAAACTTTTTATTATTTTTCTATGTCTCTTTGTATGTCTGTGTACCACATATATATGAGTATCCATGGTGGCTGGAAAAGGGTACTGGATTCCATGGAGCTGGAGATACAGATGGTTGGGAGTTACCAAACCTAGGTGCTAGGAGTTGAATTTGGGTCTTATGGAAGAGTAGCAAGTACTCTTAACCAGAATCATCTCTCTAGCCCCTAAATCTCTAAATTCTTAATTATCTTAGCAGCAAAGGGATAGGAGTTCAAATTCAAGAGCATTATTTAACAAAATCCTGCAAATTTTACTGCCATTATTTATGTACTCTTTGAGCCATTCCTAAGTAGCTATAAAAAACTCAATACAGTGGAGCAGGCATTTAGTACACATAACTCCACTGGCTTCTTATATAAACAGGCTATCCTTAAATGTCACTTAAATCCGATCTAATCTGAAAAATGCTCAAGATTGGAATGATATTAAGTCATCAACTTACATTATTTTAGGATCTTTTCTATAGAGACTCTGTGTTTATTATGAACCTGATTTTTTAAAAATGAAAGAAGAAACAACAACAAAACCCACAAGCAATGGGTATATTTTTCAGGCACTGAAAAGTGAGCTACATTCTTATAAGATTTTTGTCTTCCTGTTTTACAATATTATTCTCATTTTGTAGAATCATCCTAATAAACTTTCAACAGTTGGCTACTTATTTCAATAAAACCTTGACTTTTAAAATTTGTTGTCTGCTCTCTCATTCATTTGCATTGATTCTGTATAATTATTTTAAGAAGTTAACAAATAAATTTGCTTTAATTTGTTCTGACTATATGCAAATTTAAAAATCAATATGCATAATGTCAAAAATGTTCATTTTGTAGACATATGTTTCATAATCTAAGGGGATATAGAAATTAGGCTAATCAGAAACAAAGTATTGACTTTTCACCCCGGGTGAAGGTTCCTAAAAAAGTTCCTAAAATCTTCAAAGAAGTATTGCAAACTAGCTAATAGTTTTAGGTGAATGAAAAATTACATTATGAATTTTTGGCAGCATATATATAAAAGCTATGGGGCTCTCGCTTTCTATGCCTGTTTAAAGATGTGAGCACTCTGCCTTCTACTTCAGCCACCTCCTGCCACCATGCCTCCCTGCCATGACGGACTATAATTCCCCTGGGATCATAAGCTCAAACTCTTCCTTCTATTAAAAAAAAAAAAAAAGGGCTATGAGATATATTTCAAGGAAAAATGTTGGAAAGGTTAAAATTGAGAACTAAAAAGAAAACCTCCTCTATTAAGATTATGATCTTGGGGTTGGAGGGACGGCTCAGCAGTTAAGAGCACTGACAGCTCTTGCAGAGAACCCAGGTTCAATTCCCAGCACCCACATGGCAGCTAACAACCTTCTTTAACTCTAGTTCCAGGTGATTTGACATCCTCTTCTGATTTCCATGGGTAGTTCACGACTTGGGTACACCTACCTACATGCAGGCAATACACTCATACACATTTAAAAAATAAAAATATGGCATATGCCTTTAATCCCAGCACTTGACAGGCAGAGGCAGGTGGATTTCTGTGAGTTCAAAGTCAGCCTGGTCTATGTATTGAGTTCCAGGACAGCAGGGGCTACAAAGAGACCCTGTCTTAAAAAGACAAATAAATACATAAATAAATTAAATAGTTTTAAAAAGACTTTGATGGAGATAAGTTCAGTAATTTTATAAAAATACATCATTTATTGTTTTTTTATGTATACAGGTGTATTGCCTGCATGTAAGTACACCCATGTCATGCAGTGCCTGCAAAGATCAGAAGAGGGTGGCAGATCACCTGGAACTGGAGTTAAGGATGGTTGTCAATCCCCATGTGAGTGCTGGGATCAAACCTGGGTCCTCTGCAAGAGCAGTCAGTGTGCCCTTAATGCTGAGTCATTTCTCTAGCCCTTTGTGTCTATAATTGTTAACATAGTAACTGAATTTTACTAACCACCAGTAAGACCAAGGAGGAAATGTAAAAGCGGATAAGAACTATGGAATATAAAAATTTGTTTGCTATCACTAAAAATATTTCAATGCACTATTTTTGAAAAATGATTGTAAGTAGATATTAAATGGCTATAAAAGTATGGTATGTAATCAAAGATTATCAAACAATCAAATGGTCTTCTGAGATGGTTAGTAAGTATGTAATTCCTTACATACAAAGGATTATCTAAAAATTAAACAAAAATATTCCAAAATATAAATAAAAATATGTTTTCTCTAATATGTTCTTACTATAAAAACACCCCTCTTCCAATATGGCAATGCACTTAATTTTGGGGATAAACTATTTTAATATAGGAACCTCATGCTTCAATTCTATAGTTTATTCTCTTCATATACAACACACATATGCACACACACAAAACTTCATTATAATTCATGTTAAGAGTATCAGTACTTTGTTACCTGGTGCAATTTTCCCATCCTGAGCTGCAGGACCATCTTTTAGCACATTTTTCACTTGTAAGAATTCATCAGGCCTATCGCCACCAATAATGGTAAAACCAAATCCCATTGAGCTTTTTTTCAGGGATGCGCGAACAAGGAAACCTTTAAGTTGGGATGGATCTCGAGTAAAGTGAGATTTTTCCACATCTGGGTCAAAATGAGAAACAGATTTGCAAACAAAAATAATTACACTGAATATAGTCCTCAAAGCTGACCTCCAATAAGTAGAAAACAGTTAACAACAAACCATAAAGGAAAGAAAACCACGGAGACTCTTAAGGTACAGAACAGTTAGAAGTTAAGTCAATAAACTTAAACTTATTTACTTTTATAATTAAATAGATTATTCTTATTTATAAGGGAGCAGCTAGTGAATTACTTCTTTTTTATAGGGTCCTTTGATAATATCTGAAAGGTAAAGAGCAGCTGCTTTCTCTGTGCTTCACTGCCTTCTCTGTACTGACTCTCCCTCATCCACAGTCCATAACAGTACTCCTATCCCCCATTCACATCTTTGCTTTCTATAATTTCATTTATAGTCAACTGTATTCTGAAAATATTAAATGGAAAATTCTAGAAATAAACTGTAAATTTTAAACTGTACACTGTTTTGAGTAATGTGATGAAATCTTGTGCCATCCTGCTCCATTTCATCTGGGACATGAACCATCCTTTTGTCCAGGTATCCATGCTACCCACTTGGTTAAGTGCCATCTGGGTTATCAGATCAACTCTTGGATTACAGTGTGCATATCTAAGTAATCATTATTTTACTTAATAATAGCCCCAAGCCCAAGAATAATGATGCTGGTGATTTGGCTATACCAAAGATAAAAAGTTGGGGTTGGAAACAGCTCAGCAGTTAAGAGCACTGACTGGTCTTGTAGAAGACCTCAGTTCAATTCCCAGCACCCACATGGCGATTGACAATCGTCTGAGGCTCCAGTTCCAGGGGATCCGACACCCTCTTCTGACCTCCAAGGGCATTGCACGACATGGGTGCTGTACATGCAGGCAATACACTCATACACATAAAATAAAAATAAAATATTTTTTGAAAAAGAAAAATAGTTAAGAGTTTCCATTAAGTGAAAAGGTTAAAGTTTATCATATATATATATACATATACATATATATGTGTGTATATATATATATATATATATACACACACACACACACACATATCACAATTTATATAAGGCTTAATATTATTCACCTCTACTGCATCTACTAGAGATCTTGGGATGTACTCCCAGCAGATAAAGGGTGATTACCATACCATTAATAATGATGAAAGCTATCACATTGATTACCACATACCATATAACAATTATTTTTTAAGCAATATTTATTATTTTTATGTTTAAGTGTGTATTGTCTGCATGTATGTAAGTGCATTGGTGTCATGAAATGCCAGCAGAGGTCAGAAGAGGGCACAGAATACACTGGAACTGGAGTTAGGGATGGTTGCTAGCCACCATGTGGGTGCTGGGATCCATCCCTGGCTCTTCTGCATGAGTAGCCAGTGCTCGTAACTGCTGAGTCACCTCTCCAGTCCTATAATCATTTTATATGCATTAATTTATATAAACATATAGTGTGTAACAGTAGTTTCTTCTTGAAGGACATAACTTCATATTATTATTTTATAGATAAGAAAACAGAGGCATGAAGTTAGGGAATTTACACAAGGTTACACACTTGAGATTCAAGCCTGCTTCTTAGCCAGCACATTTAACTACTATTCTAGAATAACACATCTTACCACATATTGTGATCATTTCTATCAGACTATGAATTCTTCGGGGTAAGAACTGTACTAAACACAAACATTTTTGAATATCATGTGATGAGTGAAACACTGGGCATTCAAGAAGTAATAAAATATAATCTGTTAAACTCAATGTATTTGCTAAGCCATATGCAAATCTTAAGAAAGGGGCCTTTGTTTCTGAAGAGTAGCTAAAAGAAAGAACTTTTTTCACAGACTACAGAAATGGGTCATACTATATACTAAAATACAAGCAAACAGACCCTTAGTTATTAATGACACATGGAAAAAAGGCGGGAGACAGGGAGGCATGAATAACATCAAGAACTTCCTGAGCAGCTTTTCCAAAAACATGATTAGGTGCATTAAAACTTCATGTAGTTTTTGAGCTGGAGAGATGGATGGTTCAATGGTTAAGAACACTAGCTGTTCTTGCAGAAGACCTGGGTTCGAATCCCAGCACCCACATGGTGGCTAATAATTGACCTTAACTCCAGTTCCAGGGGATCTGACACCCTCTTTTGTCCTTTGCAGGCACTGCATGACATTGGTGCACTTACACACATGCAGGCATAATATTAATAAATAAATAAATAAATAAACAAACAAACAAACCAAAACTTCATGTAGTTTTAAAATATCTTCTCAGTGATTCTAATATGACCAATACCTATCATCTACATGATAGTTAATGGCAAATAATTTGGTAGATTTACTTAGTATTGACTAATACTGATTAATGGAGGATGCTTAATGATTAAGACACTAAACTGAAGCAGTTAATTCAGGAAAAGCTATAAAGAAATAGAGATCTAATATTGACCTGGCCTAAAATATAAAGAAATAATCTAATCTCCAAAACCAAACCTCAAAATCTCGTACTCTCACAATATTCAGATATATATATATATTTTTTTTATCTTTTTGAGACAAGGTCTTCCTGCAGCCCCAGCTGTCCTGGAACCACTATGTAGACCAGGCTGGCCTCACAGAGATCTGCGTGCTTCTGCCTGTACTGGGATTAAAGATGTGTACCACCACACCCAGTCTAAAAGATTAATTGTATCTTTTACAGTGGCAAAACTTAGACATACTTTGTTGAACTGTAAAGATCTAGCAATAAAAAGTTCACACTCACTTTTATTAACTTACTATACATTATTTCACATTTTATTCTTAGAAGAAAAGATCAAGAAGTTTTACCTGGTTTTGCAGGACCAATTTCAGTCTGTCCTTGCTGCTTTTTCCTTTTGGCTTCCTCCACTGGATTTTCAAACTGGGTTTTCTGGTTGAGGTGACTGTAAATGTGGAAAAATGTACACTTCAGGTTTAGATGAAAAAGTTCCATTTATTTTCCTAAATAAGATATCACACTATTCCATCATAAAGATTAAGAAGTCAATATGTATCTTTAGGGGCCAGAGCACAGAAAGGCTAACAGAGATAGTGGGAGGCCCACAGAAGATGACTAGAAGTCAAAGGTGTTGAAGTTTATGACAGTGTATTTACCATAGCTTCTCCACAAACCAACTCATTAGAGCCAAAACAGCTTTCAAAACTGTAATAGAGCTCTCTTACTGGATGCAATCAAAAGTGCTAATAATAGGTCAGTTATTATTTTAAAAAGTAATTAATGATAAAAGAGTTTGTAGGTTTCTCCAAAATAATCTATTAAGATACTTTTGAAGAAATCTGAGCATAAAACCTCTCTAGAAAATTACTTAAGCATATTACTTTTCTATTCATTTGCTCACATAAATAAACAGCATTTAAGAAAGTGACTTTCTTTTCATATTGTGTTATAGAGCAACTCGGTCTCCAACTTCAATTTCTTCACAATTAAATAATAAATCAATTAAATGTAATATAAATGTAGCTGATCTTTGTAAGTAGCAACATTCACACCTGACCCTTGGAAGCTTAGAAATCTGAAGGGAAGCAGAAAAGTGAGGGGAGCCTAAGGGGAGGTGGTCTCAATATTCTTCAGGCAGCAATATTTTTTAAGTTTTAAAATTTATTTTTATTTTATGTGTGTGTTATGACTACATGTATGTAAGTACACCTACATCATGCTGTGCCCATGGAGGACCCCCTGAAATTGGAGTTATGGATGGTTGTTAGCTGCCATGTGGGTACTGGGAACTGAACCCAGTTTTTCTGCAAGAGCAGCCAGTGCATTTAACCACAGAGCCATTTCTCCAGCCCAGCGTTAGTATGTTTTACACAGGGACTGTAGCACTGGTATTCTGACAAGCCAATAAAATGATAGCTACTTAAGAATACAACTCAAAAGAACAAAAACTAGTAAGATGTTTAAACTATGATGAGGTGTAATGTAGAAGTCATGGAAACATATCCTAGTACAGAGTAGAAAGATTATTTCTGCCAAATGATACACATTTTCCAGTAAAATCCACTTTAACAAGAAGTGACATTAATAAGCACACATCAAACCATAAGAATTTTAGGATATGAGTATCTTTAGATAGGCAGAATATTATGTAATCTACATGTAAACATTCACACAAATAATATATTTACATTGATATTTGTACTATTAATGTTGAAAATGGGGAAAGGACAAAAACAAACAAAACAAGCAAGCATTACAGCAGGGAATGTTAGTTTTCTTTGTTCTTCAGACATCCAGTGCATCTTAACTTCACAATATACTGTTCAGTTTCAGAGCTTTAAATATGGCAAGTTTCAGTTGACACTGTCCAGATTCTGATTTCCCTAACTCTCAAGGATGCTGCTCCTTCATATTACAGAGTACCTTCTCCACTGAGTTTACTGTTCTATCCTCTGTGAAAATGAAAATCCTAGGTTTCATCTTTTTAGAAAATAAAAAATTAGGTATTGATCTTACATATTCTTAAAATAATTGAAAAGTAACACTTAAAAAGGAATAAACTTTTTTTTAGAAAGAACTTTGCCTTTCTTTAATGTCAGTTAAAATGACTCATTTTGCCACATTGGCATTAGAGCATAAAAAGTACTGACCTGCATTCATATCTTTTGTGATGTGTGAGAGAAGAGTAGAAATATGTAAATGAATGACCCTTTCCCAGAAAATTCTTTGCTAAAAGAATATAAGATCTAGAGAAAAGAGTAACTGCATCTGCTGTGTTAGACTATTTACATTAAAATGTCAACCCTCTCCTTTTCATTTCATTATTTATAAGCACATATTATTAAGATGTAATAGATTAATTTTTCTCATAACTAGCCATGGAGTAAAGACACTGTATTAGTTACTTTTCTGTTGCTGTGATAGAAACACCATGACCAAGGGAACTTCTAAAAGGAAGAGTTTATTTAGCTTATGGTTCCAAATGGGCAAAAGTCAGTCCATCATGGTAGGGAGGCACGGCAGCAGAGGTGCTGGAGTAGGAGCAGAAGCTAAGCTCTCACATCCTGAAACAGGCACAGGAAGCAGAGCATGACTGGAGATTTGGCAAGGCTTAAGAACTCTCTAAGCCCACCCCCAGTGATGTGCTTCCTCTAAGATAGCCACACCTTGTAAGAATTCCCAAAATAACATAACCAATTGGGCACAAAATGTCCGAATACTTGGAGCCTATGGGGGACATTCTCATTCAAATCACCATATTCCACTCCCTGGCCCCCATATGCTCATTAACATATAAAATGCAAAATACATTTATTCTATGCTTAAAAGTCCCCATAGTCTTTACCAGTCAAAATATTATTCAAAAGTCCATAGTTCAAAGTCTCTTCTGAGACTCAGGGCAATCTCTTAACTGTAAGCCCCTGTACAATCAAAAGACAAATTACATACTCCTAACATACAGTGGAACTGAATACACATTCCCATTCCAAAAGGGAGGAATAGAGGCAAAGTGAGGAAATACCAGACCAAAACAAGACCGAAAACCAGCAGGGCAAACATCAAATACAGTAGCTCAATGTCAACTCCTGGGACTTTACTTTCAAAGGGCTTAGGTGGCTCAGCCCCTCCAGCTTTGCTGTGTGCACCATACAGCTTTCTTTTGGGCTAGTGCCACTCTCTGTATGCAGCTTTCCTTGGCAACTGTCTCACAGCTTTGGTATCTTGAACCTCTTCTTGGGGTCTCCACTGCCTACGAGGCTTCACCTTCACAGTTTCATGAAATGGCCTTTCAGGGCCTCTTGGCCTTCCAGGGCCTTCTTTAGGCAGGGACAACACTTCTGCACACTCCCTGGCCTTGGTGGCTCTTTGAAACCACAGAGGAAGAACTGATGATACCTTCATTCTTGCATGTTTCATGCCTCTAAAGTCAGCACTATGTGAAGGACACTGCCAAGTCTGGCTGCAATTTTGGGATGAATGGCAGTCCACTTTATCCATTTTTTCAGCTTTTCTATTCAGTAGTTTTCTAGTAGAAATCCCCTGCAGAATTCTCCTTTCACAAGTTGGAAGCTTGGACGGGTGTGGTCTTGCCCTGGAGGGACTCTCTCTATTGTTTAAGTGCAAACCTGTAGGCCTCTCCTTAATCACTTTAATCCCCTTATCAAAGGGATTCTCCTCTTCAGCAAATGCCTTGGTTCCAACATTTATCTTCCTAGTGCTCCTTTTCAACCCAAACTGTACATTCCGTAATTCTTTCTGCCCCCTTTGCTCTTTCTCACTGTAGATCTGCATAATTTTCACAATTAATACCCACACCACCATTTCTATGTTGACTGTCTTGAAGCATCCCCTACCAAGTAAGTTAGTCCATTGCTTTTCAACTTAGCCTCAAGCAAGATTTTGGGCTACGGGCAAGACTCCAGTCAGACTCTTTGCCAAAACACCCCAATTGCTCTTTAAGTCCTTGTTTTCCCCTGGAACTACATTGTTCTCAGCACTACTTTCTTCCAAGGGCTATTAGAATGGCCTGTTAAGCTCTGCTTACAGCAATCAACGGCTTTTCTAGCCCAAACTTCCAAGTCTTCAACACTCCTCCAAAAACCCACATGGCCGGGTTCTTTACAGCTGACAGCCCACTCTCTGGTGCCAATGAGTATATTAGTCACATTTCTGTTGCTGTGATAGAAACACCATGACCAAGGGAACTTATAAAAGGAAGAGTTTATTTAGCTTATGGTTCCAAAGAGGCAAGAGTCCATCATGGCAGGGAGGCATAGAGGCAGAGGTGGCTGGAGTAGGGTGTAAAAGCTATGCACTCACATCTTCAAGCAGGCATAGGAAGCAGAGAATGACTGGAGATCTGGCAAGATCTGTTGAGAACTCTCTAAGCCCACCTGCAGTGATGTGCTTCCTCTAACATGGCCATACCTTATAAGACCTCCCAAAACAACATGACCAAATGGGGACAAAATGTCCAAATACTTGGAGCCTTTGGAGGAATATTCTCATTCAAACAACCAGATACCCCATAAGCAAGGATCTTCATAAGTAAGAGGCAAATATTATGAACCATTAGAAAATTTACAAAAGGCTAACATAAGCATAATTAAATCTAATATATAATTTGGAATGACATTTGTATTACAATTTTATGCCTGATACCTAGATCTTTAAAAATCGTATCAATAAATTCATAAAGAATTTGAGATATGAAAGCACATATATCTTTTGATGGTCACCTAAGTGTAATCATGACCTTTAAACATTTCTAAACAGAAAGTATTTCTTGGTACCAAGATGGCTCAGCTGGTAAAGGTGCTTGCTGCGGAGCATGACTGAGTTCAGCCCCTGGGACTCACATGGTAGAAGGAGAGAACCAACTCCTGCAGGTTTTTCTCTGACCTCCATATGGCAGGCTTTCCCTGACCCATCTGCCAATATTTTTTTAAGAAAAAATTTTTAAAAATATTTTATTATTTTTATTTTTTACGTGTATGAGTGTTATGCCTGCATGTAGGGTAAGTGCACCCGTGTCATGCAATGCCCGTGGAGGACAAAAGAAGCTATTGGATCCCCTGTAACTGGATACGGGCAGTTGTTAGCTGCTGTGATGGCTAATCCTGGGTGTCAACTTGATTTGATCTGAGATTAACTGAAATGAAAGAGAACTTCTTGATTGGATCATCTAAAGCCGAAGACACACCCTAAATGTGGGTGTTACCTTCTGATGGCAGCCGGTATAAATGACCAAGGCAGAGGAGACC